TTTTATCATGGTCGAAAATTGCTTGTTATATGAAAAATGGAGAATTTTTTTTTTGAAGTGGACGACAATAAATTTTTCGTGTAACGTTTATATTGAATGACACTTGATCTGCAATGTCCCGCGACTAGTATGGACCCCCCCTGTGATTTTTTTTTTGTGACGCGATTGATTTTTTTATTTTTATTTTTTTTGGAAAAACAATTTATTTTTTGACAGAAGACAAAACGCGAGTGATGTTGTTTAGCATGATTGGTTCTAAAAAGAGACGTGTTAATAACCAACCAAAGGTAACTTTTTTTTAATTTGCATTGATATGTCCTTTAAATCAAAAACGCGGTGCAGATCTTGCTGGGTAATTAGAAGATTCTTGATGATGGTAAACGAATGATTGGTATTTGGCTTTTTGTAATCAATAATAACATTAATATAATTATAATTAATTACAAGAAAATGTCAAGGCGATACAAGGAAGTGAAACAATTCGATATGCGATGTTTGATTATCGGAAATTAGACAAGTGTTGAAGCACGCACGCTACCTTTAACACTTACGGTCATTCTCTTACGTTCCTCGTGTTCACAAGGCTAATCTGACTTGATCCCCCGATGATACGATGATGCTGTTAAATTTCCAGGGGGGGAGGCGCGGCCTGGAATTTATCAAGATTGCATCAATCGTCAAGGACGCTTTTCACTAATCTTCCCTCACAGCACCAGACCAGAGAAGGCTGCTGACATGCTGGCCGAAAAGTTTCCTGCAACGATCCTACCTCTAAGGATGGCTCCGTGACCAGGTCACAAACTCTGGAGGAATATTAAGAGAATCTGCAGCTCGTTTCAAGCACGGGAGGTTGCAATTCAGAATGGGGTTGGTGGCCCTGAAATGCATTTGGACTCTGATGTTAGTAAAATAAAATGGTTCGGATTTTGTTTGGTATGTTTTGTATAAATTGATTCATAAATTTTCTGTTTCTCTAAATTTTTGTTTGACCAACTGAATTTGTTTTTTAAATGGGGTAGGGTTGTTGGTGAGCAGGCATGCCACTGACAAGACAGCAACCCAGGACTCAAAACTCTGAATTCAGGGAAAATCCAAAACAGCAACTTCCCAGGTTGCAACCTCCTGAGTTGCGGAATTTCATACCAGTTGCAGACATCAACTTTATTCTAGAGAGGTATATCACACAAATGCTGATCTTCATCAGTGATCAATGGCCATATGGTGACAGCAAGCCTGGTCTGAGGGGAAGATAAAGAAAGGTTTTGTCAAAAGCCTTCCAACATGTTTTCACCTTACTTGTGGAAAAAAATCCACAGTCACAAGGAGTGTGAAAGCACCCTGTTGACATGTTTGTGATAGGAAAGTTTTATTAAATCTGACACCTGTGATCAACATCAGATTTATTATTCATAAGAAACCATACAATGGGAAGAGGAATGATTTTTTTGAACCTCCATATTTATTTATTCTTGTAAACTCCAGAGATCTGGGTAGACATGAATTATTAAAAGTTTCATTTATGCATGGCCTTGGTGTTACTACTACTTAGGTGATGCAATTGTTTGTTATGTCTATGACAACATCAAATGTATTTAACAATCATAATAATCATCATGAATATTTAATGGAGCAGGTATTCACAGAAGGAAAGGATTAAATAGCAACAAAAAAGCTAAGTTTGTTTTTTATCAACCAAAATATATAATTAATTGTATTTAAAAATTTATTATTTTATTCCACTTTTGTAATGGCATTAGCTTCAATAATTCCATTTCCTTAGTATTAATGATTAATCAATATACAAGTGGTGGTCATTAAATGGCATTCATTTTTTTAAATGTGTGAAATTTTTTAAAAGATGTTTTTACAATAATGATTTTTAATATTGTGAAATTTTTTTTGATAAATGTAAATCTTTATTAATATTAATAAAAAATCAGGAAACATGAAATTTTTGCACATAATTATTTTTCACGGGGCCAGTTGACCAAATTTTTCAATTTCTCTTCATAAGTTACTGAACAATCATTTTTTTTAAATCATTTACTTAAACCTATTCCACTGATTCATCTAAGATTAATTCCATATACTGTAAAATAGTAAATTTACAAATCACGGGAAACTAATATAAATCGGAAATGATTTACAATTGACTGTGAATGCCAACAAGAAAGCTGCTAAGGTAAATGAATTGGAAGAAGAAGTTGAAGCATTGAAGGTAGAGTTGGAAAAAAGTGATGACAGAATAGAAGAA